TGGGGGAGCGTGGGAGGGGCTGCAGAGCCTGTCACTGCCAGGGTGTCAGTCTCGGGGCTGCTGGGGGGCATGAGGGGGAAATGGTGACTGTGTAGTGCCGGTAAGGCTCTGGAGAGAGCTGCTGGCCTCGCAAGAGCTGTGGTGTCCCTCCTGCTCGCCTTATTCAGCTGAATTTGTCCATTTTTCTTACTGGTGGGCCCAGAAAGCAGTGGCTGGCTCCAGCCGTCTACCCCTTTGCTAGAACCTTCCTTGGACTTTGCGGAGACTGGGATTAAATCATCCGTGGGACAAAATGCCGGTCTGGATGAGGCTCCTTGTGAGGTGAGGCTCCTTGTGTGCCCATGAACCGTTTGCCTTTCTTCTCCCTTCCATCATTTATTTCCCTTCCAGATTTATTTCCTAAGCATCTGATAATGGCTGCCCGCTGACCCCTGCGCAGCTGGGGGCTGGAGCTGGGAGGTGACGGAGGACAGCGGGGCCGTGGGGCAGGGGATGGGGGGGCTCAGGGTCCCCCAGTCCCACACACACGGTGGCCTGCGCCCAGCCCCGTGTGTGCGAGGGACCAGCACAGAGCCTGCCTGTCAGGAGCTGCAGCCTTGATCCGCCCCTTGTAAAACAGCCCGGGCACAGTCCCGTCCTCCCAAGTCTGCAAAACACTTAGGATGTCTGGCTGTTGTGACTAGAGAAATTCAGAGGATGAAAGGCATGGGGCTGGCAAGCCATGTGGGGACGGACAACCCTGTTACCACCCCTAATTAATTACAGCTTCACAGCTGGGTTGTGTGAACACCTCTGCTCTCCTAGCCTGCTGCCCTTGCAGAGGAAAATATCACAGGTGGGTTTAGAGGAGATTGGAGCTGCCACCATTGCCCTGGGTTTGCAGCAAGCTACAAGTGCAATTAATGCAGCTCAGCTGATGAATTGTAACCAGTTTAGCTGTCATAAATGATTGCATAACAGGGGGTGGCTGGAGCCTGACGCCACATCTGTCCTGCTGTACATCTGCAGCACAAGGCTGTGTTGGAGCTTAAACTTGGTTCTTAAACTGTCGGTGATTTCCTCAAGCCCCAAGGGATATGTAAAAATTGTCCCATCAAGAAGCAGTAAAGGAAAACGGCTTGGCTTGGGCAGCGCTGCAGCCACATCAGGCTTCCTCTGTCCCTTGGCTTGGGGGCAGACACTGCTGAGAAATGAGCTGGGAAAACCATCCACCCCGATGCGTGGGCCTTTCCTCTGCTCTTTCCTTTCTCTCGAAGCACCCCAGGGCCCCATCCGGCATGTGGGGTTTGCCAGGTCACCCAGCCCCAGGGAAATTCACCTCCTCAAATAGAGGGCTGTGCAGTTGAGCGGCACAGGCCTTAGCACTGATTTCTGTGCACTCTGTGGGCAACCAACAGTTTTTGGTTGTTGTTTTGGTTTTTTTTTTTTAACTGTTTTTCCAAGCAACAATGTGTGTCTCTGTGCAGCAACTGACCCTGGGCAGAAGCAGGGTGGTCTGCTCACCATGCATGAGCTGACAATTACTGTGTGAAACTTTCTAAAAATATGATGTGCGATGCCTCGGAGAGGCAACTGGAGCAGCTCTTGGTGGCTCCTGCATGGAAAACTCAACATCAGGGGAAGGCAATGGGGCTCTGCATGTTATGTGAAGGTCACATTTGCACGTGCGGGAGCATCCATGTGGTAGGTTCATCCAAAAGAGTTCCTGCACCCACGGACAGTGGCACAAAGAGGCTTTGGGGCTGGTTGCTCTGCTCAAAGGGGCAGGCAGGCAGCTTGTGGGCAGGTAAGCAACTGGTCATGAGAAATAAAACCAGTAAAGCTCATTGTGGGACCAATCTGGCCCAGATCCTGTTCAGGAATTCCCCCTTGGTGCTCCCTGTTCAGCTTCGTGCAATGTCAAACCTGCTTCTGCCCCTTCCTGATCCTCAGCTTCATACGAGGAAGCTGAGGGTGGGGAAACAGCATTTGTAGAGAATAAACCAGCACAGCTCTTCAAGTGACTTCAATTTGCTCTTGTCTTTCTCTGTTTCAGAGCAGAGCCTGCCACCCCCAGCATATAAATCCTGGTCCCAGAGGAGGCAATTTTGTGTACTTAAATACATATATGCACTTGCCCTGCATTCATTTCCTTTCCCCAGTGATTGGTGACATGAAGAATTGTAACAGCAGAATGTATTTTTAATGCATTTCCTGCAAGTTTGTGCAAGCGAATCCGTTTCCTGGGTGGCTTTAACTTGCCACAAAGGCAGAAGACCTCGGGAGCACTGGTAATAGGCAGGGTGGGTTTTTTTAATCTACTGTTTTAATGAGCTCCATCCATCTCTCTGATTAGATTAATCTCATTTATTTTAGCTAAGCCATCTAACTGAATTCCCAACAGAGGAAATTGGGATTTTGAGTCTTTCAGGGTGAGTGCTTGCGTGTCAGGCAGCAAACTCCACAGGGACATTTCCAATTTGCCCTTTTATCACCTCAGAAATTTGTAACCCCGATGATCACATTGGAAAGGGACCATCCAAGCTGCAAACCTGTCTGCATCACCGACAGCATCAGTGGTGTGTGGTGGAGAGCCCGTGGGTCTCTCCTCTGCCCTGTTTCAAGCAACTCCCCTAAGAAAGCAAAACCAGCCCCGCTGGGAGGGCTCAGCTTTCCAAAAAAGCTCCCATTTTGCTGGCAGAAGCAGAGAGCGCTCCATGGCTGGAGCATCCTCACCGGTGGAGCAGCCATGCTTTTGCAAACCCACCAGCACGACCCCGCCGGGCGCAGCGCGGCGGCAGCGGCTGGGGCGG